AAAAGAAGAGTCGTTTTATGATCTTCCGGATCATCTTTCTTCATTTCGTCTCCTAAGATCTTATCGGGACGTAGTTCTGGTATCGGATTGTCCAGATTCATATCGTCCTCAAGATTTTTCGGAAGATACTCATAGTATTTAAACAGTCTTACTTTATATCGCTTGTGATATCTTTTCGGAAAATGCTCACGATACCAGTTGTATTATGATGCACTGTTTACGGATCTCTTACTGGATCAACAAATAACAGCCTGTTCTTGGCTTTTCTGAAGCTTCCGGAAATTAAAATCGTTCTGGTTTTATAGCTCTAAGCATGACGAGTGCTTCTCACGTGCATTGTCAAACTGAGAAACAAACGTGAATAGTTGTTATCCATTAGCAAAATAGCATAAAGAAGGAATATAAAGAGAAGGTGAAGGTGAGCTTGCGAGCGAGCACCTAAATAGCGATTCGCCACGTAATTTCAGACAATGTATAGAGTTTGCATTTGCTCAGTACAGGTATGATGACCTGACGCACGATTGATAGCTGGGAATGGATATTCACGTAGTCATTCTCAGAAAAGTACATCAAATGGTACGAGAAAATTGCACGAAATCAAATAAAATTTATATAAAATTCATGCAGAAACTAAAAAAGAAAAACTATTTCGTCAAATTTATGATTTTCCCAATGAAATATTATGCAAATTTTGTATTTTCTGAGATTAGGAGTAGCTCCAAAAATAGTGGTACTCGACAACTAGATCCGGTTCAACTACTATAAAAAGCAGAAATTCTACACGATCATTACATGTTAACTGATTGTTGTCAAAAATCGCTGACTGTGTTGCGCACCAGCGAAGTACAAAAATTCTCATCCAAGGGTTTTGGATTAGCATGAATTTTTACAAAATCCTTAATTTTCAGGCTTAGACCCAGGCTTAGGCTTGGTGAATATTCGACAAGGTTTTTGCCATTTCCGATCAGTATATTATCGATCTGATATATCGGCTATGTCAAAAATCACTGATCATGTTGCGCACTAGTGAATGCACATAAAAATTCTCACTCAACTGATTTTGTATTAATTTGAATTTTTAAAATTGGCAATAAAAATCGATAATTTATTTTTAAATTGATTTAGTAATTCAAATTATTACTTCTTTATCCTTTTATTATTGTCATTGCCATTATTACCAGTAGTATTCCCATGTAACGAACTGAATTCAGTAATAACTTAACTTACCACCCAATATGTTAAATTTATGTTGTAACTTATGAAGATATGAATTTTATAAGATATGAATTTTATTTTTGAAAATTTTTTGATGAGATTTCCGAACAGGTTTAATTACTTCAACCATATTTTTTCTTCGGTAAGCTTTGGTTTAATTTATTACAGTACAAATATAAGCTTTAATTGTGTTTGCTGCCAAATGCTTGTTATCGGATTACCGAAATTAAAGCAATGTTCAAATAAAATTGCCACAATATCCAACAGACAGGGTGACGAAATCTTGCAAGTAAAATTGATGCGATGAAGAGGATATAAGTTAACACAGAGACTGCATAGCACAAAGATATCACTGTACCTACGCAAAGGACAATGCCAAAGGCTAGTCATATCTCCATGATGACCTCGATGGAGCTTACAAACTCCTTCTCAATCCTTATATATATATATATATATATATATATATATATATATATATATATATATATATATATATATATATATATATATATATATATATATATATATATATATAATA